GTTCGGGCAAGCGCAATGTTTTGCGTTGAGCCTCCTCTACCTAAGTTTATTGACATAAAGCTTAGAGTAAGAGAGAGGCTCGAAGAGACCCGTGGGGTGCCCTTCACAAAGAATTTTGCTGATTTGATGCCTCATCGACCTCGGCAACAGTTGCTGTAGCGTCGGACATGAGAGCTCCAAAACATTTGCTCGATTTGAAACCTGGCTGGTTAGTATTTGACGCTTCTTCGGTTGCTTTCATCGCTACCTCTGCGCGTCTGACAGCTGCTTTGGCCCGAGTAACTGCCGCAAATTCGCGTTGGCTAGCCTGCCTAATGGTCTGGAGGTTTTCCTTGGAGGCCATTCCAGACTTTGTTGGACGAGCTAGACAGTCCCGACTATCTGATCTGTGTGGACCCCCGCAGTTGCGGCACTTGGTGTGTGACTTGCACTCCGCGATGGAATGCATAGTCGAAGTGCAATTCCAGCAGGCTGGGGCGCTCGAGCAGCCCCTAGTGTCGTGGAATTGTAGGCATTGTTTGCACTGGTTGATGCTTTGACAAGGCTGGTGACGGACTGCAATCCCAGAGTCGTCGAAAAGTCGGAAACCTGGCCGAGGAATCGAAGCTTTTTCACAAAGGGCTACCCATGACTGGCATAGGGCGCCCAGTCGGCTTTTCCCATGTGGGCGAACTTTTACCGGGACAGCTTTGGTGATCCTGACTATCTCGTCTGTCACCATCTTTTCTGTGATGAGAACTTTGCCCATTATTATGTTAATTGCGACTGGGACCGTCGCTATTCTAAGGGAAGCCAAGTCCGAGGCTTTCTCCAATATCGCATCCTGCCGGGAGAAGGATCCAGCTAGGCTAAGCATCAGCGCGCGTGCCTCTTGGTCTTCGGCTCTGATTGCGAAGCCAGTTGGCACACGGTAGACATGCTCAATTTTTGTTTGGGGGATTTCGAGCATTTGCGTAATTGCTTTTCTAACACCGAAAGGTGAGAGTGTTCGCCAGGGATGTTCTTTTTCGAGGCGGAGAAACAAACTTTCGTCTTGCACGGCCAGTTTTGTTGGCCCGGTTGAATTTTGGGTCGTTCGAGTCGAGTTTGCCGCCTTGGGCATTGTCTTCGCGACTTTTGTAGGTGCCGGGAGCGTCTGTAGACCATTACGGGTGATCGAGGCCCAAGTATTTTTGGCCTGGCGCACTTCGGCCTGAGCCGCTTCGCACTGTGGCTCACTTTACTTACCAGCAGCATATTCTGCGGTCTTGCAACTAGTAGCCTGGCTTTCGGGGCGTGGGGGAAGTGATGGGAGGACTGTACCTGGTCCCGCAATCATGAATTGAGCTATTGCAGCTCTAATGTAGACTTTCATAGAGTCTATAAATTGAACACTCGACCCTTTGGATAGGGGGGAGAGATCATTCTCGACACCGTTTATTGCAGCGGTGCAAATTTTTATATTTTCCGCAGTTTTTGCGGCCCGGCGTTCCTCAGCCTCAATTAAGGCTCTGAGTTAGGGGGGGCATTCCTCCGTCTGCCTGCCTTCATTTCCACCGTGAGGAGAAGGATTCTCACCTGTGGTTCCTGGTGTATGTTCCAGGGGGTTCAGGGTAGATGCTGCACCTTTTGCCCTGTAAGCATCTGCAATCGCAGCCCGCCTCATAGCCGGCACAGCGACTTCAATGAGAGGAAGTATATATTGTCCGGTAGTCGCTGTCCCTAAATTGTTGCGACTCGTCGCTGCATTTTCAGCTCCGGTCGCATCTGGCTTGGAGTGAATTTAGTTGGGTAGTCTTTTCAGATTCTTAAGAATCTTGTCAATGTCAAAGTTGCCCACATGTATCATATCGCAATCTATGGTACTTTCGTCGATTAATTGGTCAATGTTCATCTCTTAAACGGCAGTCAGTGGACCCAACTTGACGCTTGCTTTCTGTCGAGCAAGGTGTTTGAGGTGCTTGCGGTTATCTACGATGTCTTTCGCCCACGATGGCTTACTGCGAACTGGGGGCATATTAGTAGCCTACCAGTCGCTCACAGATTTTGAATTAAGGGCGAACGATATCAGGATATCGAGAGAGGGAGGGAGAGGGGGAAAGGGTGAATATTCGAAAATTCGAATTTCAAAAAATTGTGGGTGTGTGTTTTTGTTACGGTTTGACCGTTGTTTGAGCTTAGGTGGATACCTAAGTCTGTTACTAAGAATTCTTACTATGAGGCTGTATGAGGGGGAGATGAAGCTGAACGAATTGGGACTACTACTCAGGAGGCTGAAGCGTTATTACAACTTAGTGACACCTGGAAATACGTGGCTGGGTAAGAAGTATTGTGCCTAAGGAGAAGTCGCTAGTCTGTAGATTCACGAGGAGGATTAACTCCTATAAATACCTGTTAGTAGTAGCTAGAGTTAGCTTTTCTCCTCATATAGTTTATTAAATCGATTTATTCATCACCAACTCGGTTTCCGTCACAGTTTTTGTGAGTGGGTGTTTATTGTACTATTGAGTCTATTACTATGTAAGAACATATAGGTCGTTTCTGCCTACATGCCGGGAGCATATATGCCTCGGGTAGTGTACCCCCTCCTTTGCCTCCTTCACGACTTGTTTCCAGCAGTAATACCCCCACAGGTCTTCATTCGAGTACACACTAAGAGGAGCCGTTATCCCGTCATTATCTCCCCTCTCCAGCCAACGAAACGATAGCCGTTTGCGGGTGTGTAGCTACAGGGAAAAAACGCAAAAACCACTGGGTGCGGGGCTCTCCCATGACGAATAGGCCGTCCAGCCGGGTGCAGCAGACCTGTGCATACCTAGGAGCGTCTCTCAATCTTCCTAGCCTCCACCTTACTCCTCCCTTGATTCATGCCGCAGGACAAACCGAAGGTCGTGAAAGGATGTCAGAAAAATCTTGGTCGAGAGTGACTGTCGTGAAGGAGCCTAGCCTAGCATCCAAAAGTCGTTACGGACGTGGGGTTGTCGGATTACTCATGTAATTCAGAAGCTCTCCTAGCTAGTAGATTCGGAAGTTAGGATTAGTAGGGACAATATTATTGACGAGTCGAAATCTGCTTTTCTTGAGGGCGGAAGGGTCTTTTACTTTGCTTTCGTAGGCTTTTTGTTCGCCCGCCGGTGGGTAGCAAATGTTGTAATATAACGAGGGCTTCTCTGACTACCATTTTAGCTTTTGGTACCGCATTACCTTTCCTCATTCCCAGCATCATTATCGTCATTTTGGTCGTCTTGTGAGTTATCGGAAGCGTTTCTTTGAAGGTGGGGGAGATAATTCAGCTCAAAGTTGAAAAGTTGTTACTCAATCTCGACTCTTCAGTGAGAGCTGGAGGTTCTTAGGGGACACCGCTGACAGGTGTTGAGAATAGTCGCGCTATATATTATGAGATGTATCCACTAGCAGTAGGAGTAAGAATATATCATCCGAATAGAAGCTTTCTTCAGTTAGCACAAGTCTTCTCGATACCTACGTTGGTGTTCTACGAACATACGTAGTATCCTTCCAAGAGATAGATCCAACCCGTATGTGCTCATATTCTTAACATGGGTAGATATTTTCAGCATCCACACGACTGCCAGTGGCGGTGTAACGAGCCAATAGATGAGCTCCTCGTCATGGTCACATTTGGTTGATCATGGGATCTCAGGCCATGTTGAATTTCGCTCACTTTCGCGCCTGGGCTGCACGGCGCCTAACTGCATAGGCAAATGTTACGTCCTGTCAGTTCCATCTCGCATCCGAGTGTTTAAGTCGCAGCACCTATCACGCTACTTGGCGCAACTTGAATGATGCTGCGAATACGACTGAATAGCCGCCGCATTCCCCCAGCAGTTCCTCGCGAATCGCTCCCTTCCGATACCTTGCTGCCTGGTGGACAGAGGTAGAAGGCAGCCACTTTTCCAAATCAGGTGTAGTCAAAGTGCGATGGTGGCCAGGACATGTCGACAAACCTGGCAGTGAAAACGCCGAAGGACTTGCCAAACAAGCATGCGCCATTGCAGGCTATTGCCTTGTAGATCGGGTCGTAGTTTATCCGGCTCCGATGAGCTAATTATGTCAGCGCAAAGCGAGACAACAACTAGTGCCTGATGCCACTATCTATTTGTTTTCTCCATCTAGACACAAATTTAACATATTTTGGATGGACTCGTGCGGACAGCTATGCACTCTGGTGCTATCCCTTTACATACGCTGCCCTTACACCCCCACTATCTCCAACAACTTCCTAAACGATACCAACGGCTGGGCATCAGTAGTAATACTGGGAGCTCAAGAGCCTCAACCGCTACGCTCTTGGTCGCCTTCTTGCGGCTCGCCCAGCTCACGGGGACTTTGCTGACTGCCAGCGCCGCCTTCACCACTCGCACGCTCTTCTGATCTGGGCTTGCGGGCGAGAAAGTCTCCTGAGCACCACTTCTTTTGACGACTCATTCGGAGTCGGTCCCGCCTTCACTGCGGAAATAAACGTCCAACGAGGGGAATTCGCTGGATTCTAGGCTCTTCTGACGGAGCCGTAGCTTTTCGTAAATGGCTTCATGATGCCTGCTTTTTCACAGACATACAACGGCGGCCCAAGCCAGTACTCTAAGCCTTGACCTTTATTCGCTATGGCTCAGATTGAAAGAGTATCGGTCTAGGGGGTGGATAACCTTTCTATTCATATAGATAATTACATATTTGCTGTATGGGTAATAAAAGCGTCGGAACGTCGGCTAGTTTATATAAACTGAGCTGGCCATCCTGAGACCTTGCGGCTGTGTTGTAAGCTAGCACGACGTCAAATAAACCAAATGGCCGCCGCTGCTGCCAAGTCTTTCATTTCTATTCATAGTGTGTTTAGCTATTTGGCTATGACACATTATTTACATCATTCATCTCCCCTAAACCTCTTATAATTTCCTCAAAAGTTTCCAATCACAGCTCGCGAGCCATCGTAGCGCTGTGAGCTGCTTATGTTACAAGCGCAAACACTGAGCAAACTCCAGGGTAGATCTCAAGACGTCTCTTCAAGTCATCTCGGCGCAGGGAGTAGCGTCCCCCGATGCGTACTGGATGACCATGGATGAGATGTCCCAGTTGCTGTTCAGGACGACAAAATATCTGGATGTGTCTCCTAGAGCAAGAGTGAGCGAGGTAACAGCGAGGGGAAGTGAACTATCGCACGGTTTTGTGAGCTACTAGTACTTGCTATGGGGTAGAGAAAGGTTCCATCTTGCCATGATATCAGCTGATTAACTTGAATGTTGGGTACATTGCTAGCAGATTGACTAATTGCACGGAGTTGGACTCCCCCAGCCTGTGATTTGGCACTGTTGACACTATTATATATGTTTGATCCAAAAAATGTGACATCTACGCTGCAGATGTATTTAATCGAATTAATGTTTGAATTCCCACGGCGAACATGTGGAAGTGAGGTCGATGAGGCAGTGTCAAGGCTAGAAAATACACCTAAAACGGCGACGAGAGTCCAGAGTTTCGGCATGGCTAGTCTCCTCACGAATCTGTTGGCTTTCTTGATGTGTGTATGTTAATAGCTGTCTCTCGACTTGTTGCTAGCTTCAAAATGTGAGTGGTGCGGTAGGTGTACCAAAACTCCAATGCCAGATACAGTAGTGCTTTATATATGAATTATTTACTTGTCTATTGGGAGTCGAATTGGCCTCAATCTACCTAGTATCTCGGACTGCCACAAAGAGCCTTACGACTCGTGAACAGTAGAAAGTGTGGATCACCTAAACAATGTAATTTCAGCGGGTTCAGACTAGCCTCACGTCGGAATCATTTACCACTTTCCCCCACTAGATGTGTGTGGGACGTTGATAACTCCTCTGCCTTTAGGCCAAGAGTGCCTATACCTGGGAAAATATATGCTATCCTGTGATTCATTTGCCTCTCATATCCAAGAGTAACAGTCCCAACAGCTTCTCGTTTGATTGTACACTTACAGAGGCCATTTGTCCTCTGTTATCCCCGCCCTTGGGGCGAAAAGCCAAAGTCCGATTAAGCGTGTATAGATGCCGAGAAGACTCGCAAAGGCCACTCAGGATGAATGCTCCTGGTTAACGATATCCGGCCTTTGTCCAATTACCTAAGTGCATCTATAAAGTGTCGAAAGTGGCCGGGAAATTGGTCACTGTAGACTTGTATTCAGCTGCGATAGTGGCTATTCTTCCCTTTGCTCGTGCTCAGCAAGCAAAAGGGGCCTTGCCGAGAGGATGCAATAAAAATAGTCCGGCTCAGCTATTTCGAGCGTCTGGGCACGGGTAGATGGCGTAAAACCAGCAACAACAAGAGAAATCTTAGCTAATTCTGCGCTCCATCCCAACACATAACACTCTGTGGGGAAAGCTAGACTTGGGGTGGAGGCTCTGATGGCATTTGTTAGATCTTCGTCCCCTGCCATTGATTCATTTTATTTCACGCCCAATGTAAATAAAGACTGTCTTCTGAATAATCCGACCGGCTGGAGTTTTTCAGCACCCTCTTGCGTTGGTGAGCGCATGGCCGCTGTGGCCGTTAAGTGACTAGCAAATCCCGAGAAAGTAAGAATGATCCGACTAGACATGCGGTCACTGGCGTCCGCTGCCTGGTCTGGCGGTGAAGATGTAATCTCTCCGTTTCGCGAATTACTCCACGAAGCCAGGCCTGTGGAAATCTGCTTGATCTCGGCAAGATCGCTGCAGCCGGCGGAGATCACTAGAAATCTAGGCCTAGACTGCGCCACAAACGCCGGCAACATTTTGGCATTTGACACTAAACCCATTCGACACAACGGTTGAGCCAGGCGACCCAGGTCCGGTGTACTGGGTCGATCTCGTACCCACAATCCTCTTTCCCTCTAGAACCTCCATGGACCCTGGATAATTCTTCTCCCGCGGAATCCACCTCTGCCCTTCCGAATTGAGGTCCTGCTGTGTTTCCAGGTCACCTGGCATCAAAAAGTGGATTACACTACAAACAGGTCCGTGTTGTATTAATTACGTAACTTCATTCTACAGTGCCTCTAGGTTGGAAAAGGTAAAACTTCAAACTGGGTTGTTTAAGGGATTAGCCCTGTAGGCGTAGCTGGGCTAGCTCGCAATAGGTTAGACTGTCTCTCCTCCTTCCTCCGCTCGCCGTTGAGTATGGTCCGATTGTCTTGTTCTAACAATCGCTTCAAAAACACATTTTCAACGACAATTTTGGCTGCTTATCCTACACAGCCTTTGAAACTTAACATCACTATCAATCCATACTCTTTTCTAGTAAACAATGTCTGTCCAAAAGTCTGCTTCAGAAACGAAAGCTCGCAAGCACCAAACTCGCGATCAATATATTGAAATAAGAACACTAAGAAGACTTGGCTTGACATTACAACACATATCCGACGAACTTGGCATCACAAGAAGGCAAGTGCAACTAACGTGTGCTCGAGAGACATAGAATCCTATGCCTCGCAATGGACCCTCACCAAAATTAAGCGCGGAACAAGTTGATGAGCTTGAGGCTTTCGTCCGGGAATCTCCTGAAAATCGACAGATGTGCTATTTGGAACTAGCAATGGGACCCTTCAGCCACTGGAGATGCAGTGAACGTTTAATTTCTAATGCACTCAAAAAAAGAGGTTACAGCAGATGCATTGCTCTGGAGAAGACTCCGTTAAGCGCGGTGAACAAGCAGAAAAGAATGGTGTTTGCCCAATTAGATATAGATTGGAGCGAGGAACAATGGAGTCAAATGCTATGGACTGATGAAACCTGGGTATCAGTTGACTCTCATATGAAACCTCGTGTTACAAGAAAAGCACATATAAATTCTATCAAAATCTTCCCTATACTAACAGCAGAGTTTAGCCTGATGATGTGTTTGATGAGACTTGTTTTGTAGCTCGCCATGCTCATGGGAACAGTTGGATTTTTTGGGGATCATTTTACGGATCACCAAAAGGCCCATTCCTAGTACGGGAGAAAGATTGGGGATCAATGATGGCCTCGTCCTTTTTGGAAAGTATTTTGCCTCTTGAATCAATTTCACTCGGAAAATCCAGAAATTCTATACATGCACGTCAACGTACCATGTCATAAAGCGTACTTGACAACTGAGGCACTGCGTGAAGTTGGAATAACGCCTATTAGATGGCCACCTTACTCTCCGGACCTGAACCCGATTGAGTCATTGTGGAACACCTTAAAAAATCACATTCAGGCAAATAGTCCAGAGATAAATGGAGTCAGGCTTGTGCGCTCTGCCACAATGAAAACATTGCTGCAGGCCGCACGGGACTCCATACCTTCTGAAGAGTTATTGTCACTAATTGGCAGCATGCACAAAAGATGTGAAGCAGTGATAAAGGCAAATGGAGGGTACACAAAGTATTAGGATGGAGAAGACACACAAAACATGTAGCACGCTTTCATTTTAGTTGCGAGCTATACTGAGGACTTCGATGTAGACTTTGTAATACAGAGCAATAATTTTTGAAATAGATGTGCATTTTTAGAGAATATGAATTGATATTTTTAATTTTGAATTTTAAATAAGGACCATTGTACTTTTTCCCATAGAGTCGAAAACCATTCCCATAATTTAGACTTTCACGGAATATAATTGGATAGTACTCCTGCTTGCATAACTAGTCGATAAACTAGACATGGGCCTGCATGAAGACTAAACCAATCTAATCGATATGCTCAGGGATCTAACCCCAGTCATTTTGACAATTTTACTTTTGTCGTCCTTAAGAGACTGTAGAATAGCGTATTGTAGTTTATGTAGGAGTTTTGGCGGTGATAATTAGATGAACAACTTACATCAGACTTTGCGAACTCCACAGGCATCCTGTCAAACTTATCATAAGCGTGCCTTCCACGATGTCAGTATCAGGCCCTTCATTGCTGGGCCTGACCCCAGTAGTTTGCTTGATAGTTCGCGCTTCCAACCGGCACACAGATATCTCATTAATGCTTCTCATCTTTGGCTCGCAATATCAAGCCTACGTCACTTATTCCTGTCTGCGCTTGAGCCCGACTCTAGGCGACTACCCGCTGTTTTTTTTTTATAATTATTGAGCGTCGTGCTAGCTCACAACACAACCTTAAGGTCTCGTGTTGGCTAGCTCAGTCTACATAAACTACCCGCTGTTGGCTATTATTTACACAGCACTGTGTATCCAGGTCACGGGATAGTGCGTTGAGAAGATTAGTGGGAACTTACTACGTAATCATGTTTGTTTTATTTGTTTTATTTGTTTTATTTGTTTTATTTGTTTTATTTGTTTTATTTGTTTTATTTGTTTTATTTGTTTTATTTGTTTTATTTGTTTTATTTGTTTTATTTGTTTTATTTGAATTTGATTTCATATAGCCCGATTTGGCGGCCTATGGGCCTATGCAGGTGTCTACGAACTCTAATATTTACATAGGAGGGAACCTTGCAGTAAAAATCCCCTTAGCTGTCTGATTGGACTCTACGCCATTATAGTCTTACCTCTAGGAAGTGCACTCACACTGTTGTTGCCAATGTGGATTCCGTCCTTGTCCTGTGTATCCATTTTCCTCTCTTCGCCTGATTAACGCCTCAATTTTCCCGGTCATCTGAAACTGCTCTAGCCATCCTTCCTTTTGAATCCACTGTGCAATTCTAGTAATATCTTTGACGTTATTTACCATAGCTTCGGAAGATCGAGTTGTCGATTTTCGTAGCAGCTCACCTCTTCCCCTTGCCCATCTTGGACAAGACATCACCATGTGCTTTATATTTTGGGATGGATATCCTCATTGGCAGCATGGTTTTCCTACTCCTGGCACGTTCCTTCTGTATAAGTAAGCATTGAGCGCAATGTGCTCGCTTCTTACTTTTGTGGCAATGCTACTCTGGGCCCTGCTAAGGTTTTGGTGGATTTGCATAGGTGACTCTCTATAGTTTATCATAAGTCTACCTGTTTTCTTGTCGTTGTGTTGTTCGTTTTATTATTTTTGGTCCCAAGCTAACGCTGTCTTTTCCACATTGGGTCAAGGACCGGTGGAGCCGGCAGGGTTCCCTGTAATCTTTCCTACAGCCTAACTCGTTCCAACCTCGTGAATCTCTGCCAAAAGTGCAGCTGATTAAACCGAAACGAAAATTTGCAAAAATCAAAACAACTCCGAAAACCAGAAGATTCCTTCACATTGGACTCAAGCAATGTGCTCCTCATACATTCCCTCGTCCGTCACACCTTCCAAATGATAAATTTGCCCAACTCCGCTGAGAGCAAAAGATGGGTTAGCAGGCATCTTTGGTCCAGCCGGTATCCTGCTATTGGTTAGTTACGTAATCATGTATTAGCGTGCTTGTAACCTTAGGAGTTTCCTGTTAGGATCAGAAATGAACCACTTTCACCTGACTTAACGAATTCCACAGGCATCCCGTGATACTTATCACAGACGTGCTTTGAGTTCCAAGTCACCGTAAGCCACTTCGCGGCCTCTACGCTCGAGCGCACAGCACAACCATCGGAAACCGGCC